TGTTTTTAAAATGAGGCTTAAAGGGGGTTTATATAGGAGTTTGGAATGTTAAAATTTGAGTTTTTGACGTTAAATGCCGTTAGGAAGTGATTAGGGGTGATTTGAATTTAAATTGGCAATTTGCTACAGTGCTGCCAACGGATCCGGTACCCTTCACGGTAGGGTCAGTGCCGTCCGGTACCTAGGTACCGTGACCCACGGTATAGCCTACCGTTTGGGGGTACCGTGTATGCCAAAAGTTTGGTTCGCCTCTGGCGGTACCTGGTTAGGACAGGGGTAACCATCCGTCTCAGCCTTCCATCCGGTACCTAGGTACCGTTACACGGTAGGGGGTACCGTGTACCTCTTCAGTGAAACGTGCTACGGTACGTTCACTTGGCTACCGGCGGTATCCTGGTGCCGTGTACACGGTAGCCTGGTACCGTTAGGCCACTGTAAATTTTCCAAAACTCGTTTTTCGTGTTCCGTTTTCAAAATGACCCCAACTTAGAATATATTTGACATTTAAAATAAATTTTTGAGTGAAAGGGCATAAGTAAATAATTAAAATATATATTATTACCTTTACACAATAATTTCTAAACTCGTAGGAGTATATCTCGGTGATGCTAAACAAGCTAATAGAGGTTTGGCGTTTGGTTTCTTCCTGCAAATGATGTTAGTAGCATTTGGAAGACTTATTTGGCACATCAAAATGGTTACGGGGTACGGCATTCAAGGCCAACAGTAGATACGTGCGGCCTGAGGTCAGGTCGAAGTCTTTTGCAAAACTCCTCAATTCGGTCAACCGCTGTGCTCACCAGGGTGGGTGCAAATTGAGCGAGGTGGACAAATTTTTGTCGGTATTCAGGGAGTGTCATATCTCCTTGCTTCAATTGAATAAATTTGGCACGCTTCTCTTCACGGAATCGGGCTGGGATATATTCCTTCTTGAACGCCCAATCGAAGAATTCCCAAGTCCAAGGTTTTGGTGTGTTTGGATTTTCGTCAATACGTTTCCACCATTCGTAGGCTTCCATACGGAGCAACTGAGATGCAAATTTCGGATGATCAACGAGAGGTATGTTCAAATTTTGTAGTACACGAGCGGTTTGCTCGATCCATTCAAGATCAATTTGGGGTTCGGAAATTTGATCTCCTAGAAACTCCTCAGCACCATTATCTTTCAAGGTTTGAAAGTGATCAAATAAGGTGGTGGTGGAGGTGGTTGAAACACAGGGGCATTGGTCATTTGTTGCAAGAAGTTTACCATTAAGGTAGGTAGCATAGCGTCAGGTTGACCTCCAATATTTTGATCGTTTTGGGGAACATGTTGTGAGTTCACTTGTTCAGGTTGAATAGGAGGTGTGAAAATGGATGCTTCAGTGTGAACATTTTCGTGCCCATGGTTTGGCACTTGGTTACTTTGATCGTGAGCGGTTTCTTGACTCATTCTACAATAACAGAAATTCCTTCGTTAGGATTCTTGACGAGTTGACAACAGATATTTATTCTATCAGAATACATCGATGTTTAAGTCACTAATCGTGTCATAACAATGTGTCACTTCATTCAACAAGATTGAGCTATCCATAACTTCTAACAAGTAGGTTCATTTGAATTTGACCGAACAAATCGTCAATTCATAGTAAAGGGTAGCGATTCTTGATCGTTAGTTTGTTTGTCTTAACAGAGATATTATAGTATCTTTGACCGTAAGTCAATCTTAGAGAACACAATGGATTCTCTAAGCTGATCAATTAAGTCACCGATACGACGTAAAGGATAACGATTTTTGGTAGTTGATACAGAGTCTCATCGATCCATCTTCATTCTCTTACTCATTTGAGATGAACTCGTCGATTTAGAAATCAGCTTTTCTTTCACCTCTATAAGGTTATCATCATCAGTCTTCAGTTGAAGAATTCTTCGTCAAAAGTTGTCAACAGAACGCTGTTTAGTCAGCCAATTCATACTAAGGATAACGTCAATTTCCTTGTATGGTATTTTCAACGAGGTTTTGCGAGGAATTGTTGCTTAACGAACGATTTCATTTCACAAGATACAATCGCATGTTGTTTCGTAATGAGTTGGACATCAGGATGGGATACGTTTAGACAACAGAGTTTATTGATTCTAGACGTTCGTGTTTAAATCAGCAATCCGATCATCTTCAGTCCACATGAGGATCTTTGACAGCAGCTTTGCGAATGTTATTCAACATTAGGTGTTTCTTCATAGTCGTCTCACTTCTATGCGACTTTGCGAGATAGATCAGCTTCGTCAATCGTGATATGATAAGTACGTTGATAACGTATTACAATTTTTTTTATTCTTTCGTCTCTTCACCGAGTACGAAAAATCTACTTGAGTCTATGCTCGATATAATTTCACTACTAACAATTGTTATCTAGTGAGAATTTTAACAAAGTCAATATTTATCTAATAAATTCTCATACCTTTCCTGGAGCAGAGGGATGCGAGAGTCGTGGATGTGACTGACACATTTTTTT